TGCGGATGCGCTGTGTCTGAGCCCGCTTGGCACTGCGAGCACTCGGGTTGGGCGCCTCGCCGCATTCGTTGTTGTCAAGCTGATTGGGTGACAGCTTGCGCTTATGCTGATCACAACCGCCATGGAAGGCAGGGGTAATGGCGCCCGTGTCATCGGTCGCCGCTGGCAGCAACATTGCCGATGCATTACCGACAACAGCACCGCCGTCCCAAACGCCTTTATCAGGAAAAAATTTAGACTTATCTTGCTGTTTTTGTGTTTGTTCGGCGTTCAAGTCGTTGCCTTTTGCGTGTTTGTCTATGGAAGGACCGGTCATACATTCTGCTATGCCGCGTTGACTCACGGGCTTGACCTTCTTACGGCCCCTCATATCTATTTTATGATCGATAATACTAAGTTCTGCACATTACGGAGCAATCTGGCAGCAATGGACGTTTTTGGCTGAAGGAATGAAAATGTACGGATCGGCCTCACTTTGTTCCTTATTTCCAAAGGCCAAAAAGGCTTCTTTATTCCTTAAAAGTAATATATTACTTAAAAAAAACACTGGTCCAGTGGAACAGGGCCGGGGGGTACTTGTCAGGCCCCCTGACAGGCACGGTGGCCCAGCCAATCCACTCCCTGTCGTACCCTGCCTTCTGCCACCGGCTCAACAGGACCCTGCAGGCGGCGGGGATCACCCGCCGCATCACTGCGCATTCCATGCGCATAGGAGGAAATAGCACTGCCGCCGACCGCGGTGTGCCTGCGGACCTGTGCCAAGCGCACGGCCGGTGGCGCAGCGACGCCATGGTACAGCACTACACGCGGCGCGACGGGGAGGCGAAACTCTCCGTCTCCCGCAGCCTGGGCCTCGCCAGTGAGCAAATGTCTCTTCGGTCTGCTGTGTAAGGCCCTTGGCAGCGGTGCAATTCTCGCCAAAAAATCGCAGCCAATCCTCAGCCACCAGAACCAGTTAAGGGAGACAGTAACACAGAACGTATATGATAATGACAAAGGAGTTCGTAGAGTTCTCATCACAGCTACTGACAAGATGAACGCTGAGCTGACTGAGCTGACGAACCAGAAGTGGGCTTACTTTCTTTCGCCCCTGACATTGCCGTTGACCTGCTTTTAGGGCAGCGACTGCCATTACCGATGCACGGCAAAAGACCTTGAAGCGAACCTAAACGATGAACAGCACCATAATATCCATACATACATGGCAGGTGGCTGCCAGAGGTTAAGGCCTGGCTTCTGTTCCCGGAACGACCCAGGTTCATACCCACATGCCGACAGGTGTTGAAATGGGAGGACGGCCCCCATCTAGTGAACGGTGTCAGACGAGATAACATCAACTTGCGAGCTGAGCAGGATCTAAGTTGAGTCGCCGTTGATCAGCTTGGTAGTGAGTTGCTGAACTCAACGAATACACTCTGATGGGGTGAATGGATTAGGGTGCCCCTCTCGCAGGGGAGAGCAGGGACTGTCTCGGGAAAGGGGGCCGCTGGTGAAGCTTAAGCACCCTGTAACAACATCAACTTCAAACGCACTGATTACACGAAATGCTCCCACTTTCCCAACCTCAAACGCCGGAAGGTGACGTCTGGATCATTTCGTTGCCACCAAAGGAACCTTTCGTCCGAAACGGTGCCGGTCAAAGTAGCCACACATCCCGCAAGCAAGATCGCCCTCCGCCATCCTAACTAAATGTTTCCCTTTAGCTTCGACCCAGTTGGAAGCTCACAATCACACCACTGCCTTCATCTCTTATCTCTTCTTCGGTGTCCAGTCCATGTTTCCATTTCCAGTATATGACACAGTATACTAACCACGGTGCCACCGTTTGTACCGCCTCAAGCCGTAAAAGGTCCAGGAAAAAGTCCCGCTCTCCCAGTTTCGCCGTACACCTATACGGCGCGCTCCCCACACACACACACATACATTGCAAACACAGTGTATCCCAAACCCTGTACGAGACACAGCCCCTAAGCCCACCCAACATCGATTTTGCTATCTTTCTTATGTAGACCACATGAACAGCATATTATCATTCATAGCGGGAAGGATTGCAATGAGCCCTCCCCGTAGCGCGGAACAGGGAACGGGAGTCCCAATATCCCAGGGCTCCACTCTCCCAAAACAGCGCCCCTTAGTACATGTCAGGTGCTGGCGGGTACCCGGCCGCCGGCTTCTTGTCCTCGGGCGCCTCAACGACGACGCACTCGGAGGTGGTGATGAGCGAGGAGACGGAGGCGGCGTCCACCAGTGCAGTGCGAACAACCTGTTGCGGACGGGGTTACGGACGGGGCGAGAAGGGCGGGAAGGGCGGGAATGGAGAGGGGAGCAGGATGGCCGGGTTACTTTTAACCAGGGCGGCAATCCGCATGACGATAAGGCCTAGATTCTACCTGGGAGTTAAAAATGACTGAAGAAATTGCTCATTAAGATCAGGGTGCTTACAGCTACAACACGAACCCAGCAAAACACATGAGAACGTGCAATAATACCCTCCTCCTCCTCCTGCCGTTATTGCTGCTGCAGTTCCTCCTCCAAACCTTCAGCATTTCGTGGTAAATAACATCCGCAGAGTTCCCATTTTCTTCCCACATCCGGATTCAGGAAAGGAAGAGGGCCTCGAAAGGGCCGTCCAAACCTCCCCCCCATCCTCTCCGCTATCCTCTCCGCCGCCATCCCTTCCCGAATCTACTCGCTCTCCTGATAAGCAAGCAATAAAAAGCCCATTCGCTCTCATACGTCTCCTCAAGTACCTAGCGCGGCGCAGGTAGGTACGGCACGCGCAATCCCAAACCTTTTTTCACCGCCTATGTTCATTATGTAAGGTGCGGAGGGCTAAACCAGCAGCAGAGACACAGACACGCGCCCGCACCCGCGCCGCCCAGCAATCCGCCTCACCTTTAGCGGGTCGATGATGCCCCCCTTCACCATGTCCTGGTATTGCCCAGTGGCGGCGTTGTAGCCCATCGCCGGGTCCTCCAACTCGAGAACCTGCGTACCACAGCCGTACAGTTGACGACAGCGCGTACGACGGTCCGCGTCACGACGGTAAGTATAAAAGTGACAGCGATGTCGCTCTCGGGAATGTGCCCCTCTGCGGTGGCTGCCCCGAAACCCATGGCGGGGTGTTGTTACTGTTCCTGTTGGTGGCAATGGCGGTGGCGGGGCCCTCATGCCCCTCTCCACACACAGGTGCGGGCACGCACAGGAACACAAAGCCCTCTCTCTCCCAAAGACTCCCCCACCCAACGCAACCTACCGGCCCCGGGGGGCCAGCCCGCATGCAAGCTCCCCGTCTGTCCAAGAGCCACACACATACATACATACATACAAACCCTAAGTTAACATACATACACACATACATACATACAAGTACGTGCGCACGCAGTTTTTACCCAGCAGTCACCCACCTTCCCGACCACCACTGCGCCCTCCACTCCCGCGTTGCTGGCAATGGTCTTCATCGGCACCTGCAGCACCACCGGAGTCAACAAAGCGCTTGTGTCTGTCTGTCTGTCTGTCAGTCAGTCAGTCTGTGCGTGTATGTGTGTGCATATGTGTGTCGGTGTGTATGTTAGCAGGAAAAGCACGTACGACCCGCCACCATCAGCACCATCCATAACACCGCCACCCACCCACCCCCCCACCCACCCGTAGAGCATTCTGGATGATCTGCACTCCGATCTTCTGGTCGAAGTTGTCCAACTTGGACTTCACGTCGTCCAGAGCCTTGGAGGCGTGCAGCAGCGCCGCCCCGCCGCCGGGCACGATACCCTCCTCCACGGCCGCCTTGGTCGCGTTGAGCGCATCCACCACGCGGTCCTTCTTCTCGCCCACCTCAACCTCGGAGGCACCCCCGATCTTCAGCACCGCCACACCGCCCGACAGCTTGGCCAGGCGTTCCTGGAGCTTCTCACTGAGAAGCGGACGGGTTTGGGGGGGAAAGACGAACCACAAACGAGTAAGCTGCTGCCAGGGCAAGAGTGTACCAGACGTAGAACTGACCGAAAGGTGTCCGTGACGGGTTTGGGGGGGAGGGGAGGAAGTCAAAACACGAGCGCGTGAAGCTGATGCCAAGGAAAGACTGATGCGCCAGAAGTAAAGCAGGCAGGCAGGGAGGGAGGGGGGAAGGCCCCGCCGTGCGGGAATGAAAGAGAGTGAATGGGCAGCACCAGGGGAGCTGGGGGGGAAGCTGGGGGAACACACACACGCAAGGAACCAGAGCATCAACTGGAAAACACGCCGCGTCACATGCTGCTTTGCCACGGTAGTGAACTTCTTCTTCTTCTTCTTCTTCAAGTGTGGTACGGCAGAAAGTGGACAGCTCTTTCGCCACTTCCTTCCTTGTGCCTCTCCCCCCCTTTTCCCAACCCCTGTGCTTACAACTACAACTACAACCCCTCTAGTGACGGGGGATGACTAGTGCTACCAGTAGTAGATACAAATATAAGCCTGTAATGCTAGTGACAAACTGCCAACTACCAACTACCAACTGCCAACTGCTCCTCCCCAGGCCCCGCTCGCCATGTCGCTCTCACCGGTCGTAGTCGCTGGTGGTGGTGTCCATGGCACTGCGGATCATTTCACAGCGGGAGGCGATGTCGGCCTTGGAACCTGCGCCGTGCAGGATGATGGTGTCGTCCTTGGTGACGGTGATGCGCTTGGCCTGAGGGGGCGCAGAGTGGTGTGTGTGGGGGTGTGGGGTGGGGGGGTCGGGGGACGCAGAGTGGGGTGTGGGTGTGTGTGGGGGGGTGTGGGAGGGCGCAGAGTGGGGTGTGGGGGTGTGGGGAGGGGGGTGGGAGGGCGCAGAGTGGGGTGTGGGGGTGTGGGGTGGGGGGTGGGAGGGCGCAGAGTGGGGTGTGGGGGTGTGTGGGGTGGGGTGGGGGGACGCAGGGAGAGGGTTGGCGGCCCCCGACAGATTGAGGAGAATAAACACTTAAAAAAGCTATGAGAGGAGAGAGAAGAGGTCCACCGGGTACACTGAAGATAGGTGGAGAGTCGCACATGGGCGGGAGAGTTCACTCTTTTCTCCCCCCCCCCCCTTTGCAATTTATCCCTCGTCCTCCCCCACAGTGGGGACGAACGTCACCCGTTCTCCTCCCGCCACCCGCGTCATCATCCCGCCCAATCCAACTCAGCAGTCTCCTCAGGTGCTCCTGTGTTTTCCCCTTCCCCCTTTCCCCCCCTGCCCCCCCCCTTCAGGGCCACCCCCAGATTCCCACCTGCCCCAGCGACCGGACGTCCACATTCTCCACCTTGTGACCCAACTCCTCACTGATGACCTTACGAAGGGAGGGAGGGACTGGGGGGAGACT